AGGATTGAACCCAGTGCCTCATGCATGCTAAGTGAGCATCATTCTTCTGAGCCACAACCCCAGCCCCTGACTGGTGCCTTATGACCTTCCTGTATCTGGATGTTTGGGAGGTATTCTGTTATTATTCCATTGAATAAGTTTMTACCYCTTTGGCATTCTCAATCTTTTCTGAGCCCCAATAATCTGAATGTTTGCTCTTTCAATACKGTTCCAAAGTTCCCATAATCTTTCTTCATTTCTTGTCACTTTTTTCTTTTTTCTCTTTCAATTGTATATTTTCAAATAGCCTCTCTTTGAGCTGACCAATTCTTCCGTTTGATCTGTCCTATGACTGATGCCTTMTATCTTGCTTTTAATAATCATTGAGTGTATTTTTCACCTCAATAATTTGATTTTTAAAATTTTTTTCATCTTGGGTTGGGGTTGTGGCTCAGTGGTAGAGYGCTTGCCTTGCACATGGGAGGCACTGGGTTTGATCCTCAGCACCACATAAAAATAAATTAATAAAAGTAAKATTTTTTWAAAAATATTGTTTTCATCTCTTTATTTCTCTGTTRGAATAGTGAAACATTTCTCTGTGTTTTCTTGAAACTCATCAAGTTTCCTTAAAACAGTTATTTTAAATTCTCTACTTGAATGTTCTCCCACACTGATCCTATTTTAGCACCTTATTTTTAAAAACTTATTTATTTATTCTAAATGGGAATATATGACAGCAGAATGCATTTTGATTCATTGTACACAATTGCAGCACAACTTTTCATTTCTCTGGTTGTACACAATGTAGCGTTGCATCATATGTGCAATCATACATGTACCTAGGGTAATGATATCCATCTCATTCCACCATCTTTCCTGCCCCCATGTCCCCTTCCCTTTCCTCCCTCCCCTTTTCCCAGCCAAAGTTCCTCCATTTTTCCCATGCCCAACCCCCCATATTATAGATCAGCATCCACTTATCAGAGAGAACATTCAGCCTTTGTTTTGGGGGGATTGTCTTACTTCACTTAGCATGATATTCTCCAACTTCATCCATTTATCTGCAAATTGGCACCTTATTTTAAATATTAGGTGAAGTCATGATTTCCTAGAAGCTCCTGATGCTTGTTGGTGTGTGACATAATCTGGCAATGAAGAATTGGATATTTATTCTAGTCTTCCTAATCTGGCTTTGTGTTTATACTTCCAGAAATTCTAAGCAAGCTGCTTATTTTCTCTGAGCCTGTAGTCACTTTTACTATTTCAGCACTGGATGGCACCTAGGTCCATATTTACTGGGAGTCTGCTGGTGGTGTGTTGTCACTGTTTCAATATTAGAGGACAATCCAAGCCCACATTTGTCCCAGATATACTATTAGGGTATTGTTCAGAAAGAAACAGAACAGTACCTAGAAAGAATAGTCTGTTCCAACAAGTCTTTCATTTGGGCCAGGGTAGATCCATATGCCTCATTCACAGTTAGTGGTGTGTAGTCAGGTACTACAGGATTTTGCCCAGCCCTGTATAAACTGGATGCACCAGCCCCAAGCTCCTATGTCACACTTTGTAGCACTAATGTCACCAARCTGTGTCACACCCTGAGCCCACAGCTTGCCAATACCATCACAACACTGGGATAGATCCATGGCCCACACTKCTGTGAGCTATCTCAGGGCTATAAGATAGCTCCTGCAGATTTGGGTCTTACATACACTTTCCAGGAAGGAAGAAGAGGAAGAGAGTGGTATACGTCTCTTCCCAGAAGCCTTTGAGTATGCTTTCTTTTAAATTTCACTGGTAACAAGGCTGCTGTTAAGGAAGGMTAGGAAAGTGAATGTTCCAGGGAGAGAGTTTGAGTTAGAATTAGGATTAGGAACATACTTATGCTAGATACTTAGGCTTAGTCTGACACATCATGAAAATTCTGATCTTCTTTGTTAGATATTTAARTATTTTTAATATTTAGATATATTAAATTTGACTTCTATTGTTTATGTGAAATTAAAATTTAACTGTGCTCTTTATTTTTTTTGCTATATCTGACAATTATATTATATTATAATTATATTATATTTTTCAGGGTGACACTTATATATTGTCACCCTGAAAAATTTAGGGCTGTAAAATTAGCAAAGAAGAAGGAAAGATGACTACTACAGAGGCACACRAGTTTGTCCAGAAAAGACATTACCCCCCCTCACTCCCTGGCAATWTTTATCATAAACATTTTCCAGGAGGTAAATTGAATAGCAAAAAGAAGTGACTTAAGATTTTATTAAAGATGCAAACACATTCTCCAAATGCGAATGTTCCATAAAATGCAAGCCTGCACAAAATTATAATTTGGTGATAGCATTTATTTAGGTAACTAAGAAAATTCTTAGAGATCCCATCAACTGTGGATCATACACGTGGAATTATTAATCTTCAAGATTCTTATCCTATGAAATTCTATTAAAATCTGACAAAAATCCTTTAAAARTTGCAAACCTGTCAGCTGCTATCTTATTTTCACATGGGAATAAAGCCCAAAATGGACAACAGACCAGGCTGGTTCAGAAGTCAAGGCAAAACCACTTRGGCTTAAAGTGGGGTCTGCAGATGCCRTGGCRCAWAGACCAGGTKYGGGGCGGGRAAGGGGGTKGGGGGAGATGGGAACACAAGTCCCAGGGAGCTTCCTGGAAGAGGGAAACCAGAGAGAGCCAGATGCAACAAATAAATCCCTTGTGTGGAGGTGAGTTTCAATGCTCTGGAATTCCTGCAAATTTTTGAAAGATGGCAGAAAAATTTCTTGTAGTCCACTTGAGGTAATGTGAGAACTGAGTTCTCAAAGTGAACTTCCAAATTATATATAGATATCCTTTACCAACACATTGCTTTCTATTGACATCTATCAATTTTTTTTGACAGAAAAAGGGGTTGAGTACAATTGAGATGACAGAACTATTAACTATGGGATTATTGAGATGCAAGAATTATTAACTATAATAAAATAATATAAAGAATTAAAATTGCCCTTATGGTGCCATTTACTTGTCTCACTCCTCCAAGTCATTTAAATGTTTTAGAATCATCTTTTATAGTAGTCCACAATATGCAATTATATCAATTATCCTGCACATGAATGTGGCAATCTGGTTGTTTAAGGAAATCTTACAGTGAAACATTTTAGAAGACAAACATTGCTCTGATTTGTCTACTTTTAAACTTTCATCTTGGCAGCTTGCATAAGGCAGGCTGACCTGGTGTTATTGCTCTCCACCCCCACCCCCTGCTTTTGGCTTTCTGTTTGAAGCCAGTGGTCACAGATGTTTCATTGACTGCATATAGGAAAGACAGAGAGTGAGTAGATGGGGGGCCACAGAGCCATTTGACTTTCAAGGTGCAAACCCAACAACATCCACCCAGTGCCTCAATCTCTTTCTGGAAGAGTTAACATTGCTCCACCTCCATCCACAGCCCCCTTCCATGAACCTCAGAAACCACCGCTGGCTCCAGCAGAAGTAGAGGTGTCTCACAAGAAACAAAAATTAAAGGTATTCCTACTTCTAATTACAGAAACAAAATTCTTTTTATTTATAATATTGTTTGTGAGGATTCGGGTGATAGCCACATACTATATAATGGTTCCTTTCACACAGAAAGTATTATTTCAGTTGCCATTGGGATGCATTTAATTTCTGATGATGATGATGATGATTACTATTATTATTATTTATACTGCTAGGGATTGAACCCAGGACCTCCCCCATGCAAAGCAAGTGCTTTACCACTGAGTTACATCTCCAGTCCCTGATTTTGAAAGGAGTGGTGATTGTATAAGTCAACTCCACCAGGACACTATCACTGGGATCTAAGAAATTCATTGTTATGAGATGAAGGGGCTGAGTCAGTGTATGCTGCTACCCAGTCAGGGGTCCAGGAGTCCAGGATACGTTATCTGTTGCTTTACATCCAGGTTGGTGTTGTCCGGGGCATATCATTGTGAGCTGTTAGTGTATGGCTTTGTCCTTAGGCATAGGCTAAAAAGGCAAGACCTCCAGTTGTGCACAGAAAACCTTCTAAGGAGGAAGAAGCAGCAATTCTGTATTCCTTAACAACAGTACCTCACAGTCCAGTGAAATTCATCCTCAGGAAGAGATGTCCCCAGTTCAAAGGTGCTGGACTTTTGTAGCTGGCTTTCTTATGCTTATGGGCCATGGACAGGCTTATGATCATTGAAACTTTTTGCCACAGGAAGGAGACAGCTGGCAATGTCTTTTCTGGCTGACCCCATGTGGTTATGTTTTCAGCTGCTCTCATAAAAAAAGAAAGACACACTGGAGAGTAACACTGAGGAAATGTATCCTGCTGTGTCTCCAGAGTAGCCTGCTTACCTGCTCCTCCCAGGCCTTCATCTCCTAACACCACATCTTCCTCAGGAGGTTTTCGCTGTATTCTCAGCAGTGGTGGCTGTTTGCCCTTCAGAGATTTCCAAGCTGTTTATGTAGCAGCATGTCATGTGACACCCTAGTTGCCATGGCAAATATTTGTGTTACATGAAAAATGTGGGTAAAAAAATCAATGTAAATGGCCAAATCCCAAGACAGACAGGCCTTCAGGCAAGTGTTTGGCCTGCACCATTATTGTTTCAAATTCAGCTGTTTAACAGGCTGTGAGAAGGCCAAGGGCTAATGTGCAGAATGGAACAGGCGCAAGCACCTGTTTTGATTCTCACCCTGCCCAAGCGTTCAGATCCCACAGTTGCACTGAGAACAGATCTACAGGTAGTACAAATATTGTGACTGAATTTTAGCCGGTAAGAAGTTTCTCTCAAAAACAACTTTWAAAAAAAAACATTATGACATATTTTCTAAATGCTAATTAGCCCTGGCTTTAATTTCCGCTGTTGACTTCACAAAGCTTTCTCCTACTGCTAGAAGCAGTAATATTTAAAGACTTCTCCCTGTGGTCCCAGATTGGTACAACATTTCTGAATTGAAACTTCAATGGTAAATGTAATTATTCATATACTTTGCTGAAAGTGTTCTGGGCATGAAAGTTAGAAAGCTAAGAGAGCCAGGCACAGTGCCACACACCTGTAATCCCAGTAACTCAGGAGGCTGAGGCAAGAGCATCACAAATTTGAGGCCAACCTGGGCAACTCAGTGAGACCCTGTCTCCAAAAAAAAAAAAAGGCAGGGGGGAGTGGCATGTAGCTCAGTAGTAGAGCACTCCTTGGTTCAATGTCAGGACTGAAAACAGGTGGGGGGGGCTAAGAGAAATATACAATATGCCCATCTTTTGGATAGAGCCTGTTCAGACTTTTGATCAGGCTTCACTACTGGCCAGAGCAGTGCCACACAGAGAAGCCCTTTCTTATAAATTCTTCTCTAGCATTCCCTAGAAGTGGGACTTGGCATTTGATTATAGTTGTTTTTGTAAATATTTATTTTTGCCCAACTCCTTCCTAAAAGCAGAGGGGCTTGGCAAGCAGCCTGTGATAGTCTGGGGCTGGGAAAGTTCTTTCCAATTATTAGCTCCTTCCTGCATGGAAAGAGGGARCAGGCTGGCCCATGGGGGAGGCAGGGAAGTCTGGCAGAGGGACTCTGAGGCTTCTATTTGTTTGTAAAATTGCCCATGAGAGTCATTTTGATTTAAACTGTGTCTCATTCTTCATTGTAGGCGAAAGGCAGAAGGTCAAAAGGACATCTTGATAAGAAGGTCAGTAATTTGTGTGACTAGTTGAAATTTGGGGTCTGTCACCTGATGTCCCTTCTTTTTGCTGGAGGGCAAAAGTATGGGAGCCCGCTTGACAGCTGGAGACAGCAACAAAGTTCTTTTGCACTTCCTTTTTAAAAGAAATTAGATCATCTCTTTAGGAAAAAAACAAAACATAATTTGCTTAAAGCAGAATACCTTTCTTTGCCCTCTGCTGGGACTGAACCACTTCTCAGTTTTCAGTCCAACAAATGATTTAGCATCCTTAAAATCTGAATTTGAATCACATCAGTCTTCAACCTCATTCAAATATTTTCATCATTTAAAAGTACTCTGAAAAAAGACGAGGTTAAAAATAAATTCAGCTGTCCCAGCACATGATTATGTGTATGTACATGTGCATGTGTGTACACTCACGCCTCACGTATGGTGTGGTAGGAGGGGAAGGCTATGGGGGTCTGGTGTTAAGCTGATCACAGCTAATGTAATAAAAGGGGTCAGAAAAAATGAAATTGCCTCAACATGGCAAGCRTGTGTGAGCACTTGCCAGGGCCGTGCACTGGTAATCGAACCTCTGAACATGAAATGGGTATGTGCTGKCTGGACTCTCCTCTTAGTAGGAAAGTAACTAATTTTGGCAAGTCACTTAAATTCTCTGCATCTCACTTTCCTCCTCTGACAAATGAGGACCATGCCTCCTTTTACTTAGGGTTCATTCAAGGACAGAGGAGTTCATGTATGTGAAARTGCTTTGGTCCATTTTTAAAAGGATCTTCTAAACTTTCCTTTCTCAGTGATCTTCTTATCAGTAAAAATTTCACAGGAAGCTTAGCCACCCCTTTTCAAGGAAAAAGAACCAACCTTTTTTGTCTTTTATATCCGCAGAGCTGTGACTTGAAAGGGCTCTGTTGCAACCCTGATTGCAGGTAGTCCTGAATCCAGACACATTGCTCCTTGACAAACTAATCAGTGCAATTAGATCCTTCCTCTGGTTCCCTTGACTTCTTATGAGGAACTAGTGAGCTTGATGCTACACTTCAAAAACAGAATGTGCTTTAAGAACACCAGGGCATTCCGTATGTGGAATATTTGTAACTGCTAATGTTGATTGAGCGTGTCCTGTGTGGGTGGCATTAAGCTCCCTCCACACCCGCTGAAGCCTCATAGCAGCTGCAGAACCTCGGTGGTCCTTACCCCACAGCCACCCAGATGGTAAAGGGCTGTGGAGGATCCAGCTGCCAGGGATCTGCTCTCTCCACATACCAACTTGTGACCTCCTCCCCACGGGCCAGTTCCATTACTACTACTGTGGCTGCCCCCACTGCTATTACTAACGTTAGCCGCTACCATGTGCTGAGTGCTTGCTCCTAATGTSTTAAGTGGAGCATCTCCCTTCATCTCTGGGCAGTAGGTACTTTTATAATCCCTATTTTACTGAAAGTCACTGGGTACATAGAGAGGTTAAGTCCTTCCAACAAGTAAATGCCAAGGCTGGTATATAAAACGGAACTCTGTGACTCCCAGAGTCCCAAAGCATTAGAAATTTTTATAGATCTCAATCATTTTTTATGGAAATCTTTCTAAAACATATTACACCTCTACCTACTCAGTGTAATTGAACATCTTCTCTATCTGCTCTCATGTTTGCAGATGCAGATGACAAAGATTCTGTGTCTTTGTTTCCTTCAACATCAGGTGGCAGGCGCCACCTCTGCTGTCCTGTCTGCTTCTCTCAGTGCTGACTTAAGAGCCATTTCTAGTTCCTAGAGTAGTTAAGCAAACAACCCAAACTCCAGAAGTTGACTAAGTTTGAGTCAGTCGGACCCTGCATAAAGATTCAAAGAATAAAATAAGCCATAGTAGAATTGGTAATATTCATTTTTTTGAGAAATTCAAGGAATTTTATTTTTAGAAATCTAGTTCAAAGGTTTGAAGTTGTTGAGATTGCTCTCTCAGAAAATAAATATTTTTGTTATCTTAAAGCAAGCATATTAACAACTGAAGTCACATAGTTCAGTTTTATATACTTAATTTTAATTAATTGTTTGCATGGGTAGAGCAAGTTAATATATTTATCAAAACATAAGAGTACAGACTAAATTCATGAAAACATTTGCTCCTGGGAAGAGGGAAAGAGATGAATGGAACTAAAAAGAAATATTATATATATATATATTTATTTATTATAATATATAATATAAATATGTAATATTTGTAATAATATATAGTATGTTTAATATAATATATTATATATGAGTATGTTTTTATGTATCCTAAATATATATAAAAATATATATGACAAAGAAGACAAAAAATTAACAAGCATCTGTGATAGTTTTTATATTCTTCTCTGTATGTCCAAAATGTTTCAAGTTAAAATTCAAATTGAAGGAAAACCCTATTTCCTAAGCCACACCTCTGCTATAATAATTCCTTTGATATAGAGAAACAGGTTTGGGTAATRATATTTTAATCTCAAACTTGGGATCTCACTKCTCCTAGTCATTTGTATGTTGTTACTTTCTTTTATATTTTCTCAGCATATACTTGTGATCTCTCTTTAGAAAACTGTGCTCATTTTAAGCATGAGTCAGCTGAACTATTTTAATCAGGCCACCTGTGTGACATTGAACATTCCCTGCCCCTATCTGTCCTCCTTCCCTCCTGTCTGTGTAAGGAGGAGATTCATGTTTAGGGGGCTTCCACATCTCCTTAATCCTCACCCACCAGCCCCAGGGAGAAGTTCCCAGCAGGGGGACTCTAGACTCCCCACACCCACAGCAGCTCTGTGGTTCTCCCTGTTGCTGTGAAATTACATTTTGTATGAGGAGACTGTTCCAGGCTTGATGATATATACACTTTGAAAGCCAATACAGGGTATCTCAGCAGTTTTGGTCTTACATGTCCTACCTGGTGGGGGATAAAGCTACTTCTAAAAGACTGCAGAATGCCTCCTTGGTTGACTCTGTGGTCCCAGTGCAATCTGGTCTTCTTTCTTGTCTTGTCTAAAGGGTTAGAGGGCAGATCTTACTTTGACAAGAATAAGAGCTCTATGCTGGGCCCGGTTGCACACATCTCAACTGTAATCCCAGCGACTCAGGAAGCTGAAGCAGGAGGATCACAAGTTCAAAGTCAGCCTCAGCAACTTATCGAGGCATTAAGCAACTTAGTGAGACCCTGTCTCTAAATAAAATACAAAAAAAAAAAAAGGACTGGGGATATAGCTCAGTGATAAAGAGCCCCCTGGGTTTAATTCCTAGTTTAAAAAAAAAAAAAAAGAGTTCTGCAACCTGGAAATACAAAATGAGGTTCAAAAGCAAATTCAAGAACTATTTTTGTCTCTTTTAGACTCATTTTCCATGTGAAGCCTCATTTAAATAAGAATAGAAGAAAAATCCAAAAACAGAAGGAAAAAGTATAGGATATTTTAAAATCATTTTCCATTTTCTGTCATTCACTAGATATTGCCACCCTTGCCTATGCATTTTTGACATAAAACCACATATTCAAAGTCAATTTAATTATATATTTTTATTTGAAAAACAATTTTTTTCTTGCAAGAGAAGTACCATAAAAATTGGTTTTGAGTTTGAGGAGTATTTTTTGGTACCAGGAATTGAACCCAGAGGAGCTTAACCACTGAGCCACATCCCCAACCCTTTTTATTTTTTATTTTGAGATAGTATCTTACTAAATTGCTTGAGACCTTGCTAAATTGCTGAGGCTGGTTTTGAACTCATGATCCTCCTGCCTCAGTCTCCAGAACTGCTGGGATTACAGGTGTGCACCACTGTGCCCAGCATAYGATTATTTTTACTGTTTTTTGTAGGATTATCTACTGCACATTTTTATTACATGGATTAATGATAAACAAGAAAAAAATGTTAAATTATGAGCAAGTCACAAAATGATCTTTTTTTWAATATCTTTGTTTATTTATTTTTATGTGGTGCTGAGGATCAAACCCAGTGCCTCACATATGCAAGGCAAGCTCTGTGCCACTGAGCTACAACCCAGACCCATTTACTTTATCTTTTTCATTTARCAAATATGGAAACATTTTTAATAGCTAAATCACATTCTGTATTAAAGATATGCCATAATTTTCTTAGACATTATCATATCCTTCAACATTGAATTATAAATGCCAAATTATTATAAATTATTTCCAGTTATTATGTTGTCAACAAAATTGCCCTGAATATCTTTCATGTTTGTTAGTGAGTCTTTGTATTTAGGGTACTTTATAGAGATACAACTCCTTGGCCAGGTGTGGACATTTTTGAAGCTGAGTAGCCAAACTTTTTCCTATCAGTGCTCCAAAATTCAAGCTATGGGTTTGCAAATAACAAATCATATGATCGTAGAACAGCTTTGTGCTGTGAGCCTAGTCCTAGTGGCTATGAGGTTCAGTTTTAGTATTCCCACATTCACTTGTTCATTAATTCAACTAGTCATTATTGACCTTTAACCATGTGCAGGCAGCATAAGAGGCACTGGGGACACAGCAGTGAACAAAGCAAGCTGAATCCTTGACTTCTTGGGACTCTTTTTCTTGCAAAAAGATGATAAATGGACATTTAATGTAAAGTCAGAGAAGAAAAATAAAGCAGAATACTTATGAAGGTATAGAGAATGTGTCAAAATGGAGAATTATAAAAATTCTGCAAGTGTTCTTCAGTGATCTGTGATCAACAGACTTACTGTACACACATTTTTCCTCAAGAAAATTGGAATGTCAGGCTTTYCTGGGTGGTAATAGGGGGCCTTTTTGAAGCTGGCTCTTTCTCCTGCACCTACAGAGAAAATGATGATGTGCCTTTACCCAGGGATCTGGGAATCAGACTGCTTTAGATTCCCATCCTGTTGGCTTCCTGTACACATCCCCAGTGGGCTCAACCCATCCATCATATTTGTCCCAAGTGGTCCTTAACTGTGTCACATTCTCTCAGAGAATATTCGAAGAGTAGCAGAAAAGATGAAATCAATGCAGCAATAAAGTG